AAAAAAAAAAAAAAAAAGCCTCCCTCCCCTTTCTCCCCAACCCTGGTAACCACTAATAATCTTTGATGTGTGTGTATGTATACACACATATGTACATGAGTATATTTTTTAACCTAAGAATTTCCTCTCCCCTTCCCTCCCTGGTAACCAACAAAGAAATTTTCCTTCTATATATAAACCTTGTCATAACTTTTTACAATAGTGGACTAATACAATGTTTTTCCTTCTGTGATTATTTTACTCAGCATAATGTCCTTGAGTTCACCCATGTATGTGCTGTTTTATAGATTCTACATTATTTTTTAGTGTTGCATAGTATTCCATTGTGTATGTACCATAGTTCAGCTATCCATTCCTCCATTGATAGGCACTTAGGTTGTTTCCATCTCTTTGCTATTGTAAATAGTGCTGCGATGAACGTGGATGTGCATATATCCGTTCTTGTCCTGGCTCTCACTTCTTTGGGATATATACCTAGTAATAGCATGGCTGGATCATATGGTATTTCTAATTCCAACTCTTTAAGGAATCGCCATACTGCTTTCCACAGTGGTTTTATCATTTTACAGTCTCACCAGCAGTGTATGAGACTCCCAATCTCTCGTTAGCATTTGTTATTTTCTGTTTTGCTGAACTTAGCTATCAGTGCTGGGGTGAAATGGTATCTTGTTTCCTTCCATTTTCTTTTGATGCTTCCTGCATAATTCAAAATTTTGCCCATAAAACCCTTCAATATTGCATCTCAAGGTTTGAATTTTTTCTTCAGTTCTTTCAGTTTGAGACACACTAATTGTGTCCTTCTCTTCTGGTTTTCTAACTCCAGGTCTTTACACATGTCATTCTTTATACTGTATACTTCTCTCTCTATATATATTCCACAGTTGGCCTGAATTACTTTTCTAACTTTTCTTTTCCAGAGACAGTATGACACAAAAAAAGCCAACTGATAAAATAGGCATTTATTCAGAGAATGTAATGCCAAGAAAATCCCTGAGACCGGCTTGGGGGTGGGAGGAAATGGTGGCCCTCACCTGCCCACAGTCTTGGAGGAAGGCCTTAGTACTCTGCATACTCCAGCCCTGCAGGAAGTCCTGGAGCAGAGTTCATGGATGGGCTCTGAGGTGTGTGCCTGGGTGCCTGACCTGCCCACCCACCCATGGCGTCAATGTGTCTGGTGTCCCAAGGAGCCAGTGTGTTAGGAGAGGCGGCAGAGGAAGTCATGCAGAGGCAAGGCCAGAGCCCCTGACAAGGAGATTCCCAAGGTGTCGGAGATACAGGCAGCTGTCATGGCAAATTCCCGGTGCTTATCACTGGTCTAGGGAGGAGGGGACCAGGGGTTAGGCTTTGGTCCTGAAAGCCCTGCCCCAGCCTTCCCCACACAGGCCCCTATAACCTTAACCCAGCTGGTGCTGACCTCCAGGGCAATGTTGTGGAAGGTGTTCACGTAGGCTGCACCTCCCAGCAGTCCCTCATACAGAATGATCAGAAAGACAAGGTAGATGCTTGGCAGGAAGCCAAACCACATCTCTGCCATCAGGAATCCTAGGTTAAGGCACTGCAGGTACAAGGAGGGGGGGGTTGAGTCCTGGACCAGATGGGGCAGGAATAGAGGCTGGGCATCCCAGCCAGTGGCCCTTTGTTCTGGAAGATAGGTACTAAGTGAGGGAGAGGGGTGACAGGCATAGACAGAACCCCAACACCCAGCATGGCCTCCCGGAGCCTGGGATCCGACCCAAGCAGGCCATAAGCCCACCTCACCCACCTACAGTGTGTCCTCCCACCCACCCCGGCTTCCCTTTGCGTCTCTCCCACTGCCTGGAATGCTATTCTGCCTTCCCTCAGCTGGGATCTCTTAATTACCTTTCATGTCTCAGCTTAGTTCAGGACCACTCACAACTCCCGTGATTCCATTTCCTCCTCCCAAGGGCTCCTTCAAAAGAGTTTCCCCCCAATTTACGAGTGAGCCTATCGTTAGGTCCATAGTTCGCAACTGGGGCAAGTTTGCTGCCCAGGGGCCATTTGGCAACGTCTAAAGACATTCTTGCCTGCTAACCAGACGGCTGGTGGTTCAAACCCACCAGCCACTCCTTGGAAGGAAGGTTGGGCAATCCTACTTCCGTAGTGATACTGCCTCGGAAACCCAAGGAGGGGTCGCTAGGAGTCGGCGCCGACTCGACGGCACATAACAACAACAACAACAAAGACATTCTTGGTGGCAAAAGGTAGGGTGGGACTGACATCCAGTGGGTGAGGTTGGGGATGCTGCTGACCACCCTACGATGCACAAGGCAGCCCCACATCAAAGAATGACCCTACCCCGAAGATCATTAGTAGTGAGGTAGAGAAATCTTGGTTAAGGCATTCCCACCTCGTTCAGGAAGCCTCCATGTGCCCCACCTGTGCACTAGTCCCTCGGAGGAAGGAGCTCTGGTGGTGCAGTGCCCAATGCATTTGACTGCTAACCAGAGGTTGGCAGTTCAAACCCACCACTGGTTCCGCAGCAAGACGATCAGGCAATCTACTTCCATAAAGATTTACTGCCTCGGAAACCCAATGGGGGTCACTATGAGTTGGAATCGACTTGATAGGATTGAGTTTGGTTTGTTTTTTTGGTCTCTCAGAGGGATCCCACCCCCAGCCCTGAACACACTGTGTTATCTCTGTACCACATAGGTCACCACCCCACGACTCACACCCTTTATGTCAGAGAAACCAGGAGAGCTTGTTAAAACTTGTGAAAAAACACATCCTCAGGCTTCCCCCTCAGAAGTTCTAATTCAGGAAGTCTGAGGAGGGCCCACAGATCCGCTTCAGTAAGAAAAAAAAAGAGAAACTCTCCCACACTTGGAGAAACGTCACAAACACTTTCAAAGTTAGAGTTAAGGCTAGAGACTTTCTGTAATGGAAATAAATGATTGTAAGCCCCTAATTCTTTGAAGCAGCCTCAGTCAAAACGATAGCTGCAACTATGAGCTATGGAACCATTAGGAAGAATCTGAGTCAATGAGTGCAACCAATGATCTGGAACTTTGAGGAACACAAAGCCCTGGGCTGGTATCACCCCTTGGATAGACAAGGAAGAGGTGAGAGAAGATGTGTATGCTGTTGCCATAACAGCGTTAATCTGTACTTATTCTGTATCTTGTTAAAATTGAGTCCTTAAGTTTATTAAAAAAGGGCAAAGAACCTTTGTGAAATAAACCAAAATTAAACGCACTGCCATCAAGTCAGATCCAACTCATAGCGACCTCTCCTCAGGTTTCTGAGGCAGTATCACTATAGAAGGAGATTGCCCAACCTTCTTTCCAAGGAGTAGCTGGTAGGTTTGAACCACCAGCCTTCTGGTTAGCAGTCTAATGCCTTAGGCACTATACCACCAAAGCGCCTCTTTGTAAAACAGTTAAAGGTTTATTTTAATACAAGTATGCACTTGTATTAACGTCCACGATAAGTTCTGTGAAACAGGGCACTATGTGATTTGGACGTGTGTGAACACCATGTTAAAACCTTACGGGACACACAATGGAGTACTACGCAACGTTAGAGAACAACGAAGAATCCGTGAAACATCTCACAACATGGACGAACCTGCAGGACATGACGTTGATTGAGGTAAGTCAATCACGAAAGGGCAGATACTGCATAAGACCACTATCACAAAAAGTGAAGAAAAGGTTTTCACACAGAAACAAACATTCTTTGATGGCTATTAGGAAAGGTGGGGGAGGGAGGGAAAATAACTAACTAAATGGTAGACACACGTTCACTTTGGTGAAGGCAAAGACAATTCCCAAAATGGAAAAAGTCAGCACAACACGACCGAGGCAAAAGAAGACACTGACAACACAAAGGTAAGAGGCAACAACGGTAAATACAGTCCTGTGTACAACGCTGCAACACGCGCAACAGCAAACAGCAACGAGTGGACACACAGGTAGAGACGTAACTGAGCGGGCATGGGATGGCACATGGAAGCAGCCACACGCATACATGAAGTTCAGCAGAGGATGTTTCTACATACATGTTTACATGTGTTGCAAATATATCCATGTATACACTAGAACACACACGAAGTCTAGGAAAACCTCTTAGCTATAGCCAAACACTTCGTGGGACTGAGTTACTGGGTTTGAGGGCGGAGACCATAGTTTCAGGGGACATCTAAGTTAAGTGACACAAGCACAGTCCATAAAGACAATGTCCTTCATCCTATTTTAGTGAACACCGACAGGTCTTAAAAGCTAGTGAGAGGCCATGTAAGATAAAGCTATTGGTCTTTTCCTGTCCGGAACAAAGAAGGGTGAAAAAAACCCAAAGACTCAAGGAAACAACTAGTCCAAAGGCCACGTGGGCCACGGGAACCCTCAGCCTCCATGACCTGGGACCAGAAGAACTAGATGGTGCCTGGCGACCGTTACCAACAGCTCTGACTGGGATCGCAACAGAGGGTCCTGGACAGAGTGAGCGAAAAACGTAGGAAAAAATGAGAATTTATGAAAAAGACCAGACCTCTGGGTCTGATAGAGACTGGAGGAAACCCTCAGACAGGCTTCAAATTTAGAATCGAACCTACTCCTGGAGAAACAACAGGCAGCCCAATGAACTGAACAGGAACTCCCTTGAGGAACGTGCTTCCCAGAACATTCAACCATGTAAGACTGTGCATTTGCCCAAAAGTAAAGTTCAGAAGGCAGGAAGGGGCAGAAAAGCTGGGTGAATGGAAACAGGGCCCCCTCACACACTGAGGGGATTATAACCCATGTTACAAAGTGATCTATGTTGACTGGGAAACTGATTTGTAAACTGTGAAACCTAAACCACAACAAAATGCTTAAAAAAAAAAAAAAAAAAAAAAAACCCACACTTAGGTACCCACTTCCGGTTGTCCTCCTTGCTGCTGGAGGCAGGAGCAGAGAGAGAAGAGTCCTTGAGGAGGGAGCAGAGGGCACCCTGCCCTGCTGGCCCGCCCGCCCGCCCACCTGCTGGACAAAGTCCAAGAGCCCACAGCCACAGCCACGTCCTCTGCCTCACCTGCCTGTGTCCCACCCATGGTCCAGTGCTGCAAGAGTCTGAGTTTGGGGTTTTTGAAACCATTAGGGGAAAATAACACACAAAAGGAGAGCTGTTTTACTTTAAACAAACAAACAAACAAAAACCTTACAAGATCACAAATGTATGTGTGGTCAGAAGCATACCTGTAGGAGTAGAGATTGTAACCCTGAAACAATGAACGCCAGCTGTGCAAAAGCACATCTGTTAGATTACTGTAGGAGCTTTGTTTGCTGGAGACCACTGTTAGCCTAAGTAGTCGAATCTGTTTACCAGTGTTAAGATAAATCACCCATGACCTCGTCATCAATTCTATTTATAACTAACCACCCAAAATAAAATAATACATTTTCTAAAAGTTGGAAACACTTGAAAGCTGACCTCTTTGCACTTGGCTTGTGCAAATAAACATTAAATGCATGTCCCTAACTGATTAAAGCCCAGCTCAAAATTGTGCATTTTTCTTGTCTATTTTCTTATCTCCCCTGAGATACAGATGTTGGCCTAATTTATAGACAAGGAAATCAAGGCTCAGAGAGGTTTGCAGAGCTGCCCTACGTCACACAGCTAAGTTCAGAAGCTGGGATTTATACCAGGGTTTCTCTGGCTCCTGAGGTCACCCATTTCATATGGAGCCCTGCTGGCCTCCTGTTTCCAGTGCTTAGAAGATGACCATGTGCTATAAACACCTCTGTTGAGCGAGGGAAGGAGACAGCACAGTTGGGGGAAGCTGGGAGCCAAGGCAGGAGGGGAGTGAGGGGCAAGGGGGTTGGTACCTGCAATAAGGCCAGGATCCACGTTTGGCGGATGCGAAAGCAGCGGAGAGAAGAGCGAGAGGCAAAGACACCGGCCTGGTACAGCATCTGGTACCTAAGGAGGGGGGCAAGGAGTAGGAGAAGCCCCCTCTTGGAGCCTACTAGCAGGGCAGCCCAACACCAAGGGGCCTCCCACCACTCATCCACCCTGCCACCCACCCTCACCCCCTCACCAACGGTACTGCTCAGCATGACTCAGGGACATATCTCGGAAGAAGATGAGCTCAAACTGCAGCAAAGATCAGACAGGGGAGGGGCAAGGACGTGTGGGTCCTCACCCCGATCACTACGTCCTCCCCGCTCCCAGAACCCCTCACTCACCAGTCCCTGATTGATGAAATACTCAGCGAAGTATACCAGGACCAAGGGGATGATGTGTGGCAGCAGGCCCTATGAGTCAGAGGACACCAGGGGAAGGCTGGGAGACAGGCACTACCCACAGTGGCCACACCACAGCCACCACACTTACCTTAAACACTGTCCACCTTTCCTGAAGGGAGAGGCTTGAGCTGGAGTCTGTGGGGGACAGGAAGGGAAGGGCAGGTGAGGTTAGCACATCGAGGATTCAGCAAAGGGGGACCAGTGAGCAAGAGTAAACCAGGTGAGACCTCATAGCTAGAGAGCCCTCGACAGCTGTACAGCTGTGCACCCTGGACAGCCATGCTGTTCCCTTCTTTCTGTTTCCTGAACATCCAAACCCAGGCTTACCTCAGGGTCTTAGCACCTACTGTTCCCTCTGCCTGGAACCTTTTCACCTCAGGGCCTTAGCACCTACTGCTTCCTTTGCCTGGAACCTTTTCACCCAGAAGTCCACAAGCTGACTCATGGTCATTCAAGTTTCAGCCCAAATGTTACCTCTTCAAAAAAGGTCAGTGTTCACTGACCACTTTGTCTAATTAGAACTGCTCTCCAATTCTCAATGCATCACACTGGGCAAATCTGCTGCGAAAGATCTCTTTAAGGCGTTAAAAAGCAAAGATTTCACTTTGAAGATTAAGATGTGTCTGACTCAAGCCATCGTTATTTTCAATCACCTCACACGCATGCAAAAGTGGGACAACGAATAAGGAAGATCGCAGGAGAATTGATGCCTTTCAATTACGGTGCTGGTGAAGAGCATGGAAGATACCATGGAGAAGAATGAACAAATCTGTCTTGGAAGAAGTACAGCCAGAATGCTCCTCGGAAGTGAGGATGATGAGACTCTGTCTCACACGCTTGGGACACATTGTCCGGAGGGACCAGTCCCTGGAGAAGGACATCACGCTTGGTGAAGCAGAGGGTCAGCAAAAAGGAAGTTCTTCAGTGACATGGACTGACACAGGGCTGTAACAACGGGCTCAAACACAGCGATGACTGTGACAATGGACCAGAACCAGGCACTACTTCATTCTGTGGGACACAGGGCCACTAAGAGTTGGAACTGACTCAACAGCACCTAACAACAGCTCTGTTTCTCATCTAATTGTCTTCTCTATCACAACAGTGCTTCATTTTTTTCAAGAACTCATCAGTATGAGAAAACAACTTGTTCTTGATTCATGATGTATGACTCTGCCTTGTTTTCTGATCTGTCTTTGTCATTACTGTATACCCAGGGCTTAGAATGCCTGGCACCTAGTAGGTGCTCAGTGAGTGTGTGTGGAATAGATGAATACACCTGGCTCTTACCACAGCCAACCACCTTTCCAGTCCTTTCTGACCGTGCCCATTGGAGCGGGGAAAAGACTAAAACCCAGAGTGACCTCGCTGAGGGCCTGGAACCCCTGGGTCTCCCACCTGGTTTTGGTTCTTGGGCCTCAGTGCTCATCAGGGGCTGCCGAGCTGCCGTCTCTGCCTCCTCTTCCTCTCCAGGGTCTTGGGATGCCGGAGACGTGAGCAGTAAGAAATAGCTAAGAGTGGGGAGAATGAAGACAGGGTCATAGAGCCTGTCAGGCTAGAAAGGCCCTAGAGGCCATCTAGTTCCCACCCAAATGTACACTTACAAAAACGGAGAGAGAGCTCACTATCTCTCAAGTGCCCCATCCTGTGCTAGAGAGCTCCAACTGTGGAAAATGTCAGCTTTCTTTGGGGTGAAATGTGTTTCCCTGTTGCTTCTACCCGCGGGAGTCTACCCCAGGAGTCATTGTGACTCCTGGCTCACACCAAGTGAGCCAGCTCCATTTTTTTGTAATTAGTGTTCCACTGATCGTCCCACCTCCCTTTCATTGCTCACTCTGCTAGATGGGAATTTCTCAATTGTGGTCACTACATTTTGCCTCTATGGTATTTGCTACATCCATATTCCTCCTGTATGTAGTATTTTTCCCTTTAAACTGACTCACTAGAAACCACAGGCTTGTATACAGGAATTAACAAAGTCCACCCTTGTCCCACCTCAAACCATCTTGGGAACCACACTGAGCTGGATGCTTCACACACATCACCTTACAGAGAACCAAGGACAACTCTTATTGTTTGAGATATAAGGAAACTGAGGGAAGTAACTTCCCCAATGCCATACAACTAACCAGCAGCCTCAGAAGCCAAAGCGAGGCCTATCAGAGTCCAGAACCCACATCCCCTCATAACAAGACTGCAGGTATCTGAAGACTGGGATCAGGAGCCCCTCTACCACGTTCCTCCCAGCCCAGGAAGCTCACCTGGCCAGCAGGAGGGCGGGGATACCCAGCATGGACAGCAGGGTGTGCTGAGGGGAGAGGCCAGCCTGGGTGAGGCCCAGGTAGGACAGTGCCCCCAGCAGCCCTGCTCCCCCAGTCCCTGAGGACCACCAGGAGATCACAGCCCTGGGGAGAGAACACAGGAGCTCTCAGAAGGCCCAAGGCCAGTAGCGAGGATCTTTCTCCCTTGCTCCTCGCTCTGCCCGCTTACCTGGGGTAGAAGGAGGTGAGCGAGAGGAAGGTGATCTCCCCCAGGCCTGATGAGATGCTGGCCAAGACCACACCTGGGGGAAGGCAAGCATGGAGGTGACCACATCTAGCCTTTGCTTGATCACCCCAGTCCCCTAAGGTGTCTGCCCACAGCCTCCTCTGCTCAGCTTAGGAGACAGGCTGGGCTCCACACCTGCAGTGGAGCCAACCACCATCACAGTTCCTCTCAGGAAACGGTGCCTCCAGCTTCCTGGTGATCAACCTTGATGTCTCCTCCACCCCCAGGACAGAGTTGTGGTGACTGTGCTCAGTCTCCATCCAGCCCATCCATTTCCTTACATCGCCACCACCATCCACCCCTCCAAGTTGCCCTCTTCTACCATCTCCTACACACAGCAGCCTAACAGTCCTTCTGAGGGTTACAAAAATAATCCTTTTTCGGGACCAGGTTTGCTGGTCTGATAGAGCCTGGTGGAACCACTGAGACTATGGCCCCTAGCTGCTCTTCAGGTCTGGAATTGAACCCACACCCGTGGCTTCCAGCCAAACAAAAGACAGGCATATGAGCTGCACATTTACCTGAAGTAGACATACTCCTTGGAGAAAACAATCATGGGAGAAAGAAGTGATGCTTATGTACAGGGAGACAGTTCAGGGGGCAGGAGTGCATGGAGGGATGGATATAGGGAAGAGGTAACTATGAGGAGGAAGTGGGAGGGGAGCTGTTGCATTGGGGTAAATTGTAGTCAATGTCATGAGACAATGTGTATGTGAACTGCTGTATGGAAAGTGAATTTGCTCTGTAAACTTCCACCCAAATCACAATAAATAATAATCATAATCCTTTTTCTTCTGGGATTTAGTTAGGGAGATTCCCCCTAAAATGCTCTGTCGAGGGTCCTCTGCCCCTCCCCGCCAACACAGACCCTCGCACTCACCACCCAGGCTGATGGCCACAGAATGAGAAAAGGCAACCAGGAGGAAGCTTCCAGCAGCACAAACTCCACTGACGACAACCCGGGGGCTGAGAGTGCGAGCAGGCAGAAGAGGGGGAGGGTCAGTCCTCTGTTTCTGGTGCCCCAGGCCTGCTACCACCTCCCCCTTCACCCTCCCAGCCTCCCACTCTCAGATTCCACTTCCCCTTCCTCCCACCAGCCCTGCTCTCTGACCTGTAGGGCAGCAAATGAAGACCAAAAGGAGCAAGTAATTTGATGAGAAGGGTGGGGAGGATGTCTGCAAGGAGCACCGCCTGGGACAGGAGAACAGAGTGAGACCCCACACCTTCCCCAGAACACCCCTCCCAACCAAGAGGTTAAGGAAAGAAAGGGACAAGCCCACCTGACCTACTGCAAATACGGGCTCTGGAGTTGGACAGATCTGGGCTCAAGCCCCTGCTCTACTGCTCCTTCACTGTGTTTCAAACCATTTATATTCTCTAAGCCCATTTCCTCATCTGGAAAATGGAGATGACAGTACCTAGTCCACGGGACTGCTGAGTGCATAAAATGAATATATGCTGCATGCAAAGAGGGCTTATTACATGGTGGCTTTAATTATCCTAATCATGACAGTCCTCGCTTGGTGCTGAGAGGCTGGGAGTGAGGTCTACAGAAGCAGAGAGCCTGAGCCAGGGGAGGGCCAGCTGACACTCACAGCTGTGGAGACAGTGTTGCAGTCAAAACGAGATGAGCCATTGTGTGGGACAAGTGTTGGGCCTGGGTCTACCTGATGGAAGAAAAGAAAACCTTCATTATCCAGGGAGGCAAGAGGATATACTGACAGGATCTGGCTGACAGATCTGCTCTGACTTGAAGGGTAGTCTTGGGTCAACAGAGCTCTTCAAGATCTCAGTCCTTCTATCTGTATAATGCAAGGAGGGGGGCCACAGAAGTCTCAAACCAATGGCCCACCAGCCACAGGGAGCGCTACAAATGGACTTTGTTTGGTCAACATACTCAGGAGCTCTCACATAAAACTCAGAATTTCTAGAATCTGATCTTAAGACCTGGTGGCTGCTCTCCTTGGATAGGGCATGGGCCTTCCAGTTCATCACAAAGCAGTGGTTCTTAACCAGGGTGATGCTACTCTTCAAAGAACATCTGTCAAGTCTGGAGACCTTCTTGTTGCTATAACTGGGGAGTGAGGGTAGCTACTGGCATCTAGCGGGTAGCGGCTAGGGAAGCTGCACCCTACCATGCACAGCACAGCCTCCACAACTAACAATAATGCAGCCCAAAATGCCATTAATGCCGTGGTTACAAAACCTCGCCACACAGACCATAGTCCTACTCAGCCAACATTTGAGTTTGTAAACCTCACAGAGTGATCTCTTGAAAACCCTGCCTGCCTTGAAGGTCTAAGAGATTGGGAACTTCAGCTTCCTTTCCACCCTATTCTAGTTTCGCAAGGGAGTATTTGTCCCAGGGCAAGTCCATCATCTTCCTACAGAGGTCAAACATAATGGTGATGGTGGTGGTGGTGGTGGTGGTGGTGGTGGTAGTGGTGGTGGTAGTGGTAGAGAAGGGATCACTTACGTGGCTCTGGTTCCCAGGCGCCCTCTGGTGTCTGAGGATGTCATGGGCAGCACTGAGCATCACCACATAAGAAAAGTTGTTGCAAAGGCCCAGGAGCCTGAAGCAAGCAGAAGAGACCTTACTCTCCTTTCAGGGCTATACACTAGCACAGCTCTAGCACCAAACCTCCCCCTTACCTGTGCCTTCAATCAGCTCACTCTTTCTGACCCTGCATCACCAGATCCCATCTCCAGTCAATGCTGGGGTTAGAAACATGGGCTTTAGGATCACAGACGTGTGTTCACATCCAAGCTCTGAGAGCTCTCCCAGGATCACTCTCTCCTCTGAGCTCCCGCTATGATTCAGTCTTGGGGCATTTCTCATCCACTGACCCACTGCCTCTGATGCACTGTGGTACAGCAGAAAAGAGCCCAAGGCTTGAAGCCCAAAGGCATACGTTCAGGTCCCAAGACTGCACTTCCTCCTTGAGTGGCCTTGATTTACTCAGGTGTAAAAAGGGGATATACATTCCTCTCTGGTTACCTCATAGTGCTGTACAGATCCAATCAAGATAACACTCATACTGTTTGCTTAATCTTATCTTCCAGAGCGATTTATGCTCAGTGATGGGAAGGAAACTGGGCACAGGGTCAGGGGTTTCATATCATTTTTACAAGCCTATGAAGTAGTACTACTTACTATTTCCATTTCATTATTGAGGAAACTGAGGATCAGAGAAGTCAAGTGACTTACAAATTCTCACATAGGAAGTGGTCCAGCCACTTCCAACCCAAGCTGCCACTAAACTCCTTACTGTTTAGGGTCACACTAGAAGTATTTCCCAAGAGGCAGTATTTAGATTATTTGCAGAGACCGATGGAAGACCTTGTAAAAAAAATTTTAGTAGTGATGTATTTACTTAAACGTACATTAGAAAAGTATTGGTTTCCCATTTAGAGTACAGGCATACCTCAGAGATAGTGTAGGTTTGGTTCCAGACAACCGCAATAAAGAGACTATTACAACAAAGAGTCATACAAGTTGTCTGGTTTCCCGGTACACATAAAAGCTATGTTTCCACTACGCTGGAGTCTATTACGTGTGCTGCAGCATTGCGAAAAAGTTTGAAATATTGTGAGAACTACCAAAATGTGGCAGAGACATGAAGCGAGCACAAACTTGGAAAAATGGAGCTGAGAAACTTGCTCTAAGCAGGGTTGTCGAGAACCTTGAATTTGTAAAAGAAAAAAAAAATGCAGTATCTGAGAAGCACAATAAACAAAGTATGCCTGTAGCGATTTAAAGATTCCTTTTTTTTTTATTAGGATTTGGGTGAAGATTTACAGAGTAAATTCACTTTTCATACAGCAGTTCACATATACTTTGTCTCATGTCATTGACCAAAATTTACAATGCAGCAGCTCCCCTCCCACTTCCTCCCCAAAAGATTCCTTTTTAAAAAATAACTATATTAAAAAACTTTGAAGGGTGAATTGGTTGGAGGAAAACATGAATAATCCTACATCCGGTCTGAGGAACTGACCAAAATGTGAAGGTGGTATGTGAACTCTGGGAGATCTGCACCCAACCTCAGGGCAAGGCAGTTGGCTCAGTAAATATTTATTAGTCTGCTCCTTCCCCACACACACATTTTTATCGTGATTTGGGTGAAAGTTTACAGAGCAAATTCATTTTCCAATACAGCATTTCATACACATTTCGTTTCATGACATCGACTGCAATTCCCGACAAAGTTAACAGCTCTCTTCCCACCTCCTCCCTGTAGTCACCTCTTCCCTGTGCCCCCATCTCCCTGCTGCATCTCTGTGCAAACATTTCTCTTTCTGTTCTCCCACGATGGATAACTCCAAAGAGTGTATCTCTACCTGATGTAAATGATCATCCCATATGCCTGTCTATTGTTTGGCTGGAAGCCACAGGAGTGAGTTCAGTTCCAGACCTGGGGCCATAGTCTGGGGGTCTGCTTCTTTTTTGAAGTTCAACCTTTCCTCCCCTTTTCTTCTTGCCAGTTTTCCTTTCCCGCCCCATTTTCACCTCTGCTGAACTCCTGAAACCACTCACCAGAAGCCCACTGTGTTCTTCCAAAGGGCGCCCTGACGGACCAACAAAGGGGACCGAGCTTCCGGAACGCTGTCCTCCCCTGGGAGTGAGAGAAGAACAGAACCCCCCACCTCACTCGCAGGTGCACGACGGCCCCAGAGTGTCTTCCTCGGGCCGAGCCTGCTTCCGAGCCCGTCAGGAAGGCTGCGGGGCTGATTGCCATTCCCCTAAGGGGGGACCACAATACTCACCATCGGAAGCCGAAAGGCGCCGCCACGAGCCCGCACAGCAAGCCATGGCATCAAGTTCGAGTCCCCCGAAGGGGCCAAGATCAGCGAGAGCTTAGAGTTGACTGCAACCGGGCGGACAGGCGTCTGCGACAAACGAGAAGGATCAGTTAGAATCGATTCCATGGAAGTGGGTTTGGTTTTCATTTTTGGTTCATTAGTAGCAGGAGCCCATTTTTCACTGCCCACGGCCGGTCCAGCTCCAGCAACTCTGGTGCACTTGCGCCAGGCGATCCATGCTGCACATCCCAGACTCCAACACGCGCCCCTTCACGCCCACCACGTCCCACCGGTCGGACTCCACCTGTACTCCCGCTAAAGCTCCGAGTCCTGCGGCCTGTACCTTTAAGAGCAGCTGAGATGTCCGCAGCAAGGAACCACAGGTTAGCGGGTCACGTGACAGCACAAGCCGGTCCCATCACGTGCTCGGAAGTCTTCCCCACTTCCGGAGCCTCCCTTTGTTTTTACTTTAGGCCTTCCCCAACTTCCGGGCGTGGGTAGGGGAGGAGCCCGAAGAACTGCGGAACCGCATATTTTGAATTGCCGCTGGTGGCGTCGGAGAGAAAAGCTATGACGTAAGAATAGCTGTAGCCAGGGCCATGACGGTTTCTTGCCAGCACTAGTCATGGCCGTGCGCAGCTTCTTCTGCTCTCCCGCGGCCTTCACTTGACAGAAACAAATATGGCCACCTGCCTCCTAATTTCAGAGATTATTCCTGGCCGGGAACAAAGACAGCCAGCTTTAGGTTATTGTTTTTGCTATGTGTTGCAGGTACAAATGATTTTAGAAACTGAAAGTAACAGTAACACTCACCTAAGGGGATTTGATAAATTACTATTGGTGGTATCCAAAGCATTAAGAGACCCCTTTTCCAAATGATCCTAGAGCCAAAGAGTATCACAAATGAGAAAACCGAGGCACAAAAAAGGAAAGTTACTAACGACCATACAATATTAACACTAAAGGTGACCTTAGAGAGCCTTTCAGCAATAAGAAATAGAACAGGAGAAGCTGGGAGCCATGGTGAAGGCTGTTGTGGGATTCCTGCCTGGTTCAGGGATACCTAGACCAGATGATTGTAAAGCCTAACATTCTGGCTCTGTAATCCGCAATCAGTTCTAATTTCACAAAAGAAGAAAGTGAGCTTCAGGGAGAAGAGAGAGATCACTTCACATACTCCCAAATGTGGAGTGATTTACTTACTGTCCTCTTGATGGCTGCCAGGCAGCCTCCTGAACGCTGTACATAAGAGTCCTTGCCCCTGCAGATCTCTGCTTTGGGCTCCCCGCAGCCTGTGCCCACCTCTGCCAGCTCTTTCCCACCACCAACGCTTGAGTGCTCTTTGAAATGTGCCTCTGTTGGTGTGATTCCCAGCTCACTCAACCAAAGAAAAATGGGCTCCTGCTACTAATAAACCAAAAACGAAAACCAAACCCACTTCCGTGGAATCAAGTCTGACTCATAGTGCCCCTACAGGACAGGGTAGAACTGCTCCATAGGGTTTCCAAGGCTGCAAATCTTTACAGCAGTAGACTGCTTCACCTTTCTCCTACAGAGCAGATGGTGGGTTGGAACCACTGACCTTTCAGTTAGCAGCCAAGTCTCTTAACCACTGCAACACCAGAGCGCCTTACTACTCATGCAAGGGTCTACAAATGCAGCCAAAATTTCATCCAAGGTCTGTGCCCTCAAGGAACTCACAGGAGAGTGGGAGGCAGGCACAAATGAACACTACAAAGTTTTGCTAAATTCTCTTTTGCAAGAATAACCACAGTTGGAACCATCAATCAAAACCCCTTTTCTCCTTCAGGGATTCATTAATGATCCTGAAAAGAGATGCCAGCCAGTACTCTCACCAGCCTCAGAGCCCTCTCCTCACTCCCACCCATTGTCCCTGGGCAAAACAGGAACCACAAACCCCAGCTTCCTCACACAGAGTGGCTGTGGTTTGGGGGGAGGCAGAAATGGCTGAGGTGTGAATACAAGACTTGAGTCACTCGAGCTGCAGTTGCTACAATGACCCCTCCCCCACCCCCAATTCTGAGGTCCTCCAGCTCCCATTTTTTTCTTTCTAGCCTCCTCCCTTGCCCTTTAGCTCCATATGTGCACCTGAGTTCCCTGTATGATGCATACCAATCTCCCAGCTTGGGGTGGAGGCTACTCTAGGCATTGGGGAGGAAAGGGGGCAAAGCCTGGGGTAGGGAGGCGTCAGGGACAGACAGGAAGAGGAAGTGTCTTGGGCCCCAGGAAAGACCGGCTCGTCTTGGTGGGTGGGGACGGTCATCGTCAAATTTCTGGGCAGAGAAAGGCAGGATGGACTTCCTCCGGCTACACCTCCCTGGTCTGCATCAGGCCTTGAGGGGGGCACTGGTGAGAAGGGCAAAGAAATGCTCTAGATTTTCACTCTGCTTCCTGGGGTCTACACCTTCCTTCCCCTTTGAGCCTCTCTGTAACCTGGAGATTCCTTCCCCTAGTCCAGTCTTTTCTGGATATTATCTCCCCCACCTCGGCAAACAGATCCACATACCTAGGCCTTTTCCTTTTCCTTCTGCAAATCCTGTTTTTCCTCTTCTCCCAGATCCCAGAGCCCCTCTCCCTTCTGGACTTCTCTCTCTGTCATTCCTCCTCTGGGCTCATAGCCCTTAAGGAGAGGGCTGGGTGTCCTCTTAATACCCTTTTTCCCTCCCCCTGTTCTTCTAGGACTCCTTCAGCACCTTTGTCTCCTATCTCATGGGAGATGGGGTCCCCACTGCAGAGGGCAGAGAGGCTCAGACAGCCAAGGAACTGGGGGAGGTGGGTGCAGGAAGGCCAAGGAGGGATGTGGAAGAGGAAGCTCAGGAGGCCCTGGAGGGCCTTAGAGGCAGCCAAAAAGAGGGGAACGGAGGGCTGAGAGAGCCTGGAGAGGCCGGAAGACACCAGGAGGGAAGCTTAGCTTCAGAACAGACCTGGGGTTGGGGAGAAGGCAGCTCCCATGCGTCCCAAGCAGACAGACAGGAGGACACTGGGGCCTGGGAGACAGCCAAGGCTGCCAGGTGCCAGGAACTGAAGGCCCCCTCAGAGGCCAGGAAGAAGTCTGAGACAGGGTCTGCGTCTGGCCAAGACAGGAGCAGCCAGGTCCAGGAGAGGCAAGGGTTTGATGAGGAGGAAGTGAACAGAAGGGAGACACTGAGAACCTGGGAAAGAGAGGAGGAGGAGGAACAGGTCAGGACTAGAGAGCCAGGGGTGGCTGAAGGGGCGGAGTCAGAGTGGACCTGGCACCGGGAGCCTGAGGGGAAGGCTGGTGTTGGCTGGCAAAATGAGGCGGGAGATGGCAAGGAGACAGAGCAGGTGGTCAAGGAGGCTGTTGTGGAGGAGATCCAGGGACCTGAGGCCAGAGGGGCTGGCAGAGAGGAAGAGGTGGTGATAGTGGTGAGGGGTGGCCAACTCATGGTGGAGGCACAGGGGCTAGGGGCAGAGCCTGCGGTCTGGACAACCTCAGGCAGCAAAGAGGTAGTTGAGAAGACAGAATATGGAGTAGTCCCAGGAGAAAGGACCCCAGAGGACACTGAGAATGTCTGGGTCTTAGATCATGCCTCCAAGGGAGACTGGGAGGAGAAGGGGGATGGGAAGAGAGGCCCTGAAGAGAGCCTTTTCCCCAAACAGACCCAGGCCCTGGGGACTGAAGGAATGGAAGAAGGGGCTGGGGGTCAGGTGGCAGGGCGGGAGCCGACCGGAGGCCACAGGTCAGAGGAGGAGGTAGGGGAGGGTTTTGAGGGCCAGGCAGACCAGGGCAGGAAAGAAGGTGAGAGGAGCCAAGACTCAGAGCTTAGGGCTGATCAGGCCAAGCTGGAGGAGGTCGAGGAGACCGAGGAGGAGAGAGGGAATGTCTGGGTTGCAGAGGCTGGGCTGCCCCAGGACGAAAAAGCAAAAGGGGCTGAAAGTGATGCTGACTTGGAGTCACCTGCAGAGGCCAGAGCTGAGAAGGTGTCTATAGACCAGAGGATTGAGGAGGAGGGTCAGACAGGCCAAGAAGCTCTGAGGGTGGAGTGGGGAGGCTTTGAATGTGAGGTCACTGAAGGCCAGGAACCTGAGCCGATGGAAGGGGCCCAGTCCCCAACTAAGAAACCTGAGGGTGGACAGGGGGCTAAGGAAGAACTCTGGAGAGCTCCAGCTCTGGGCAAGGAGGACACAGAAAGGAACCTGGGGGAGGATTTCTGGTACTTGGGCTATGCACAGTCTGATGTCCAAGTCTCTGAGGCAGAAGCCTGGAGAAACCAGAAGAGAAGGGATGTGGAGAGAGGAAACACTCAGGAGAAGGCAGAAACTGAGGAGGTGGGGGAGGGGGCTGAAGGACGCCAGGCCCTGGAGGCTGAGGTCAAAAGGGGCCAAGAGTCTGAACGACTGGAGATCCTGGAGGCATATGGGGAGTGGAAGAAAGCAAATGGCACTGGGTGTGGGACAGAGGTGGAAGAGGCCCTGGAGGCAGAGGATCGAGAGCCAGGTGGAGGCCAGGAGGCAGAAGTAGGGGCAGACCAGTCACTGGAAGATTGGCAAGCCAGAGAATCCAGAGATGAGGAGGTGGAGGCTGAAGTGCCTTGGGGGGCAGACGGAACACCCAGGGGAGACTGGGGGCTGGAGGAGATGGCTCCGAGCCTCCAGGACAGCAAGGGCATGCAGGTCAGGAGGGCTTTGGGTACCAGCATTGTCACTGTGGAGGATAAGGCAGCCCTGGATGCCCAAGAGAACAGGGTGGAGAAAGAGCCAGAATGGGAGGCTGTGGGTACCTGGGAGAAGGAGCTTAAGAGAGGCTGGGACTCGGATGAGAGAGAGGAGGCTGGAGGAGGTGAGGCGCTGCCCGAGGCCCAGCATGGGGAGGCCACAGAGGGAGAGGACAGAGGTGGGCAAGAGTTCAGCCTGGGGAGCTCAGCAGAGGAGGAAGTGACTGGCAGAGGCCACCAAACTGAGGCTTTTGAGGCCACGGAGGGAGAGTCTGAGGGAGATGAGTCTAAGGCTGGCGAATCTGCAGTGGCAGCAGGAAGCTGCATGGACCGCTTAACGCTGGGCTCCCAAGTGGTGAGAGCAGAGGAGACCATGGCCATGGAGGAGGCTGAGGGGCTCCCAGGAAAGCAGACAGTGGAGGCAACAGAGGCTGGGGAGTGGCAAATGATGGAGCAAGGAGCAGAGAGTGAGGGCCAGCATGAGGAGCACCCCTCTGAGGGAGAAGCACAAAGGATCCTTGACGTGGAGGATGTTGAAGTGGCTGGAGGCCGGAGGCCAGAGTCTGAGGAGCACAGGGAAGCCAAGAGGGCCAGGGAGGCTGAGGAGGCCGGGGAGGCTGAGGGGGCCGGGGAGGCTGAGGGGGCCGGGGAGGCTGAAGAGGCTGAGGAAGCCAGGAAAGCCAAGGAGGCCGGTGAGGCTGAGGAGGCTGGTGAGGCTGAGGAGGCCGGGGAGGCTGAGAAAGCCAGGAAAGTCAAGGAGGCTGGCGAGGCTGAGGAGACTGGGGAGGCTGAGGGGGCCGGGGAGGCTGAGGGAGCCGGGGAGGCTGAGGGGGCTGGGGAGGCTGAGG